CTGCCTAAACATACATATTTGACCTCAATATTAGGGATATCGCCAATCGAAGCATGCTTTGTCTAGGTGTTGGAAGTATACTCTACTACTTTACCTCAATATTCTTCCCTCGTGTGAAACTAGCCGGGTCACGATCGAACGTCATGTGGCAAGGCTGCCCAGGTTGGTCTAATTGGCCGAAACTATTAATTATCTGATAGATGAACTATTTTGGAACAATTGTCCGAAAGTATTTGGAGTTGAATGTTGGACCATTACCACACTTTTAGAACGTTTAAAGATACGTCAAAGTAGTAATTTAGAATTTGCAAGGATTTGATACAAGTTAATTATTATATTTTGAATTACATATCTATGTTGAAATAATATAAATTTTATAGCAAATTTTAATGGGGGGATCTGGGAGAAGTTTTATATTTTTTTTTAGAAAAGGTTATTAATATCTTAAAGAATATAAGTATAGTAAATGACGATCACATTTACATAGGCTTTGCGGATATTGTTTTTTTTTATGTTTAGTCTATGTTTATAGCTGAATTTTGAATATCGAAGTTTCTCTGATTAGGTATGTAATTAGTTAAATGCATTTTAAAACAGTCGGAATATTAATATGTGTCTAAAATAACTAAAACATTAACATACATTTACATGTCACATGACAAAAGTATTTTATAGTGGCGCTAATGAACGCAGCGTTTGACCTCAGAATGGAAAATTCTGAAGTTATCGAAGTATCTTTCAATATTAAACCTTTAAACCTATACTGTAAATGTTGAACCGCGCTACAAATTGAATTATTTAAAATATCGTAGCTCATTATTATAAAATATTTATAAAACAGCATTCATACATCCGGGGTCGGCATCGATTAGTTTCGAGTATATCAGGAACCCTTCTTCTGAAAGTTCTTGATGTAGGGCTGGTATTTCGCTATCATTATCCCTCTTTCTCTGGCTTATTTATAACATAGATTATTAGATTGGATATATTGTAGGATTGCTGATATAAAATTATAAAAATATCACCACGTCATTGTGAGCGTGTTTTAGGAACATTTCCGATATCGCCTACGTAAGATGTTTTACATATTTGTAATGTTAAACAGCTACAATAGAAAGTAAACTGGTTACGTAAATCATAATATTGGTATTTATCAGCTAGAGCTTTGATTAAAAAACTCTCTGTGAAAATTCAACGTATAATAATTAAAGGAATTCTTTCAAACGTTTACATAAGATGTTGTGAATCGTGAAGATTATTTTTAGGTTGTAAAAATGTTATGGAAAAGTTTAAGTTGTAAAACTGTTATGTAAAGTCTCTGGTAATTGAATAATAAATTTTTCTTATGAATAATCATACTACGCACTTTGTATCTTATTTATCATACTCCATACTAATATTATAAATGCAAAAGTTTAGATGGATGGATGGGTGGATGTTTTTTAGAGTTTGTAGCCTAAACGGCTAAACGAATTTCGATGAAATTTGGTATAAATGTAGAGGATAGTCTGGAAGAACACATAAGATAACTCAATTTTGTTTTTTTAATTCCACGCGGACGAAGTCGCGGGCGAAAGCTAGTAGTTTATAGTTTTTTAAATGAATAAACTAGGTTCATAAACTTTAAGCCCGCTACATTTTTAACTGTACGCGTGAAGTATATAGTGAAAACTTACAAGTGTTGGCAATATTTTAACGGTCAGATAAAAAGTTGCTTTTTAAACATTAACCAATAATGTTTGGCTTTCTACCACAGTACCAAAATGTTATACTTTTGTATCGTAATTCGTAAATACCGTTTTCTCTCGACATAAATCAAAGTTAACTATTAATAAATCACTTTTTCTCGATTTCTTAATTGCCTAATTGATTGCTCTCAGATTATTAATGAAACGTAAACTTGTTATCGTAGGAAAGCAATTCGTCGTTCAATTTCATCTCATTAATTACGTTGAAGATAACTTTCGACATGTTAATGTTAACACATTTGTCAGAATTACTATCAAAATTAAATGGTCAATAATGGTCCTTAGTGTAGAAGAAATCAACAGGCAGGCCGGGGTCGCGGACGTAAGCGTAAGCGTGCCCGCAACCCTGGCTTAAGGCGTTGGAGGAACCGAGGGGTTTAGTGGGTATGCCCCCCCTATTGGGCAGAGTCCCACATAACTACCGCGTCCCCCTGGGCGCGGAGTATGCGTAAGATGCATTCCTCTCGAGCAAAAAAAGGAGAAATCAAAAGTAAGGGACGTTTAAGTAAACATTAAAGGAGTCAGAGAACCTTAGTTGTTTGTAACTATATATTATTGACTAAACGTAACGTACTACGACAGTATAGTTCACAAGTTCAAAACCCTATTATCTTAATCGAAGTTCCTAAATCCTGGTCAAGCATATAAAAAATCTAACATACTCGTATGGGATCTAATCGCTTTCTTTATTAGATTACTTGGTATTAATATTTAATAAATAGTTACATATTTTTCCGTAGCTTGGTGAGTTTTTTAAATTCCTGATCAGACTATAAATATCTTTCATTCTCTTTAAGGGAATATTGTTTCACCTAACCTTGTTCCATTCATGTTACAAGACAAAGACAAATTTTAAATATCAAGATAATGATCTTAAAGCCCTAATCTTTCGTAATACTTAGGCGCAAGCCGCAAGTTCGTGGGTCGGCTGACAGATGGGCGATTGCAAGTCCCGATAAACTGAAATGGTGAATGGATACGTGATCAAGTTAACGCGAACAATAAGTGCTTTGTGCTTACATAACCTACCACAACATGCAAAGATTATAGAAATAAGCAATCACAATTTATTCTAATCCTAAGAGTAAATATTTAGTTATGACCATGATTGTCGTGTCTGTAAACTACGAAAGTCTATGTAATGAAATATGAAAATGTATGTGTAACGTTTTGTTCTTTATATTGTGAATAAAAAAAAAACTTATCTCTATTGAATACACTGTTGTGTGCATTGTAGATTTGTAGAGTAACTTATAAAAAACGTCATCTTGTTTTTGTAAAAAACATCGTTTTATTATGCTTAAAATTTTTATGACTATGATATTTTGTTATTTGTAAATGTCTATTTTATTATCTAATTTCTCACGCTGTGTAAAGAATGAACGAACATATAAAATTAACTTTCTTTAAAATTAATCTCCCACAATTGTTTAAACAATGCAGATACTAAGTTGAAAAAACTATAATTTAAACGCGTTCACACTTTTATCTGATTGTTCGATGGCTGATATAAAAAAGTTATTATAATTCATATTATGTAAAGTTATTCCATATCTTCGGTGCACTTGTTTGGTGAATTATAACATTGAAATTTCATCAAACATTAGGTCACAAAACTTTTAAAGTATCGTTGTTTACCTTGATATTTTGCTGCGATCTTCGTAAAAATGATTCTGGTATAAGTAACTCTAAGACCGCGCGCACAATTTTGACTAAACTATCCTATTACTATAGTGCGATTGTCCATTGTTTCGCAGCTAATCCAACTTTATAATTGTACAACTAAAAACCTAGTATTGGAATCAAAGCGATACAAAACATTTGTGCGATAGTTTAGTCAAAGGTGTACGAGCTCTTAAGTAACATGTTGGGGAATAGTAAAGATTACTGCAGAGTATTGACCCATCGCTGTAACATCTTAAGTTATAATGGTCAACTCGATCGGGCGTGAAATTATTATTACGAATTCCGTTGCGAAACTGTACACCTCACTAACCTATTGGTTTTCAATAACCGCTAATATTAAACCAAGCAATGATAGCACTGTTTATTAACTTGATGGAACGTTACAAGTTCTGGATAAGGCCGGTACTCATGTCATGAATAACCTCTATAATCTATACTAATATAATAAAGCGTAAACGCACACTTTTTTGTTGCCTAAAATGTCAGCAATCACAGCATATTTTCGAATAACTCTTTTTTTAATAAAAAGCCCTACACTTACGTCAGGTTTTAGGCTATATATTTTCACGCCGTTAAACTTAAGGGTAAATATTTTGGATAAAAACCCTAATGTGGAAAAGAGACCATAAGTTGTTGCCAACATCAAGGAAGCAAGGTTGTCATCGTGTTATGTCATTTTGACATTTGTAATTGATAATTTGACAAATGTAATCAATAAAATGATTTTTTTATAATTTTATGCGGATTCGCAAGGGAACAGCCAGTCGTTGAATAAAAATCAAAGTTAGTATGCGCAGGCGCCATTATACTTGCGGTCTTTGGAAAATGTTCGGTTAAACCAAATTGAAATAAAACACTTTCAATAATAATAATTTTATTATTTAATAAAAATAGGAACAATAAACTTAATTCAAATGCAATGTATTTGCTATATAAGAAAAACAATATTTAATATATGATTTATCTTAATTAATAAAAAATTTTTCTCTAAATGCTAATAATTTGTTCAAAAAAAATAAAACATTTTTTAAAGAAAAATACTTAAAAATAGTAAAATAGTTATACTTGAAACATAATACTTTAACAATTATTTGTACTCATACAATAACTATATAAGGCCTCTTACAAATTTAAAGTTTTTAAGAAAATATTCCAAAATTTAAATAACATATACATTTGTCAATAGTGTAATATTGTATAGTTTATCACAATTATCTGATATTACGTCTAATTTTTTTTATTGTATACATACTGTACAGTTTGACTCTTCAGTGAAAATTGAAGGGTATTATCTGCTGTAACTAACTGAATAAATATTACTTACATTTTCTTCGACAAAACGAAGAGAAACATTTGTATTATAGACTTACAAAAATCATATGGCAATTGGCAGAAAAAATATCGAATGTGCTATAAAATGTAGTTTTATTTGCTGATATTAGGGCTATGATGCATCAACTTTCGATTACTAGTTAGTGTTAATTCTAAACAACAAAAGTATAAAAGTACTAGCTGTTTTCTCGATTTCGCGAGCGTGAAGTTAAAAAAAAGGTAAAAACAATGCCTAGGTGACTCAGTGATAACGTAGCTTTTTAATGGTGCTAGAATTTTGGAAATCGACCAAGTTATTTTTGAGTTATTTCAATACTTACAAAAATACAAAAACGCAAATCTTGCCTCTTTATAATAGTATAAATAAATTGTACTTAGTCTTTGCTTGTGTAATCTTAAAACTGTAAATAAGTAAACAAATACTACGGGCAATCAGATTATACGTTGCAAATCATTAGCTGTTGATTTTTTTAACAAGAGAGAATTGAAAGAAGTTGGGAAATAATTGCATACTGGTAACTCTAAAAACTAACCTCTCCCTGTCAAAAGCCTGCCATAAGATCCTTGTAATTCTATAATACCAGTGTACAGTTAAAATACAAGTTACAAATAATTTAAACATTGCAGATAGCTTGGTAAGCCTCAAGATGGTCGGTATTCGGTGTAACGGTCAGCTGTCTGCTCGCCTTCAGGAACAATACTGTACCCGGTTTGACTGCGATAGGCTCGGTGTCGCACGCCTCCCCCGCACCGGATATAAAGATAATAATACTGGGACTGGCGCGGATTATTGTATTGTAAGAATCACCATTCAACACCTGAGTTACATAATAAAAATTAACAGACGAATACTGCATATTTAACAGTGGTAGTGCCCGCTTTAACATCTTAGCACGAATGGGCCGGCACGCCCGGTGTAATACCACGACCACACAGAAGACAGGCGTGAAGTGGAAGCAATTCCGCGTTTCGTCTGATGAGTGTGGTGCAGGACGCCTAATTTTAGTCCCTTTCCCTTTCCACCCTTTTCTTAAGAGGAAAGGATGGGAAGAGGAAGTGGATTTGATGCAAAGGAAGGGGAAATATCCTCTTTATGTGCGTCTCCTCCTCCGTCGTATAAGGGTAGGCAACGCATCTGCATTTGCGGATGTCTATGGGCAGCGGTCGCTTAGCCATTTTGGCGGTTTCAGGTGGTCGCTTGCTCGTTTGCCACCTAATGTTTTAAAAAAAAAAATAGCAACATTAAAAGTAACAATTTCTTAATTGATAAGGCCACGCTTAAGTTTATATGCTATTAAAATGTTGATTTCTACCAATTGTAAGCTCTTTTAACCACGCGACCTGTTTAAGGTTCGATTTAGTATTCAGCCGTATGTCAACTACTAATGGTTGACGGCAGAGAAGCAGGAAGAAAATTGTAAAATAGCAAAATAAATATATAAATTAATTTGAAATACTAAATTGAGA